CCCCCCCCACCCCCCTAGATTGTTAATCACGTCTACAGGGTTACTAGTGTTGATAGGAGGGGGCTGGAAAGGAAGGGGATGAAAGAGCCATTCCTATTGGCACAAAATGCCGGGCTGAAAGCATCACAGAAATTAGGAGTAGAAGTGGAAAATTGTTGTCCTGCACACAATCTACCCAAAATCGGTCATTCTCACTTGGAGAAATCTGTGGAACTTTTAGGTTTTCATTGACATTTCCCCATCCAGAGTAAATCCCAAAGTAATGAACCTGTTTAATTTGGGATTTTAATGAAAAGTAGAAACACGCTTAACAAAATAGTTAAAATCATTTTTTATTGTAAAGTTCGACAATCTCGATAATAATTAAATTGCAATACTCCATTTTGACCCAACCATTGACTTAATCTTAGCCATAATTCCTAAATTAATTAATTTAAAAAAAAATCACCTCTGAAAGCAAATTGACCATCAAAGTGAGTCATTCCAGCTTGGGAGAGAAATGCCACTTGAGAGGTAAATGAAAAAAAAGTACACAAAATCGTGTTCACTTCAGATTAGAATTTGATACAAAACTTCCTTCCAGAAACTGATTAGCCTTAAATGAATTTTATTTCAGAATAATAATTTATATACGTCAGAAATCAATCAATGGTAATAATAATAATAACTAGGTTCGTCTTATGGTGCTTTGTCCTGATTTCCCATAGAAGAAAGATAATCTTACTTCTTAATGACAAAATGAGATAATTTGTGACTTAAAACTCGAAATTGTTTTAAAAAAATGTTACTTGATCTTTGGAGAGTCGAAGGGGCTTTGCGCACACAATCCAACGAACGCATTCTACGCATGGTGGAGTTGTCAGGGAACCCTCGTAGGTGAAATAGCGACTGTTATCTACAAATCAATTTAAAAGTAATTTGTAAAATGGTATAAGTAAAGCATATTCGTCTCAAATTAATGATAATGCAAACTTTGCAGACAAGACCAAAAGCAAACTTTTAAAGTGCATTTTTACCTTATTCGAGGTTAAGATTTCCGTTAAACTCCTGATTCAATTTTACATCGTATGAATTTTATTTGCCTATTCACGTGAAAAATCTAATTTTATTTAAATAACCACCAACCTCCTGGTGATCAGCTTACGAAATAAGGTCATAAATAGCTATGAGTTTAGTGAACCCCCCCCCCTCCCCAACCTCCCTTCTTCCCTCCCTCAATCGCTCATGGAAAAGAATTGAACGCGCTTTGGATTATATCTCTGTCTCTCTCCTCGACCCATTTTTTTAAAATGACTATTAAAGGGAAACAGAAACCAACTTGGAATAAGGCCATTGATGTCAATTTCTCCCTTTACTGAAGTCTCGCAGCCGGGTTTTGAAGACTTCATTGCTGCCATCATGGGTGCCATAGCTGAACAGCCCTCTACACTGGGCTAAAAATAAAAAACCTTGTAAAGAATATTATTAACTCATAATATAAAGGCGAGCATTAATAGTACCTTTAAGAAAATCCCAATAACGCAGAGACCTTCAGGGTCATTGAAGGCTTGATTAATGTTGGCATATTTCTCGTTCATGAAAACAAGATGAAGTTCTCCAGCATAGCTGTGGCCATCGATATGATGCTCAGAGCCCCATTCATCATAACAACCCCAGTGAAAATGCAGCTGCAGCAAATTGTATTTATTCTTAAGAGGACCGCCCTCAACATAAGTGGCTAAAATAAGCAGAAACTAAATAAATGCTTCATAATAAACATGAAAGTATGGGAAAAGTAAATAGAGCATACGCCTATCAGTCTTGAAAGAGACTTGGAAGTTGTGTTGCTTTCTACTCAATATTTGATGGCCGTGGTGCGAAACGAAAACCTTAAATGGAGTAAGTGTGGGATCAAAGTGACAGTTATGAGTAATGATGTTAATCGGAGATTGATGGGTCCCAGCGGCTGTACGGCAGGTAATGCACCAAGTGTGAGGCCCTAAAAATAAATTATGCATAAAATAACATACCATTTGTTGGGCCATAGCCATAATCAATGTGATCAGTTGCAGTTGTCATTGTAATTTGAAGCACAAATGAAATTTATTTATATCATCAAGCTTCTTAAATAGACGCATTTAGTGCTTTGAAGGTTGTAAATTAATTCGAAATATTAAAACAAAAGTCCTTAATCTAAATGTGTTATATAAAAGGCATCTTAAAGCTTTAAAAAGTTGTTCTCATCATTTTAGTTTTTCACACATCTTGGTGTTTTTTAATTTTATATATTTTTAATATTACTTTGCATATCCATATATGACAATATTCAAAAATACTGTGAACATAAACTTTAATCAGGATCAAAGATAAGTCAGTTATTTTGTTTTATTTATTCTAATGCAATCGTTGTTTTGGGAAACATTTGACTTAATAATTTTAAAATATTTTAAAATTATCTGCTTATTTAATGCACGAAAATTCGAGTTATTATAGCTCTGTGCTGAATTAAAGTAATTAACTTTTAACTTTGAAATGGCTCAACTTTTTGCAGCAATAAGATAAAAATAATTTTCATAACTAGACTAGGGCAAGTGACTAAGTTGTTCAGAAGAGGAATCGAATTCCAAATTCACCATTTACATAACATAAAATATATATCACTCAGTGGTTGAAATTGCATAAATAGCAAAATACAAGTGTTCTTTTGCGGAAATAGTCTTTTCATTCATAAATCGCTGTAAAGCCTAAATTCTAGCTAAATAGGTTTCCAATTCAATTTACTTAATTTATCAATATTATCATTAAGATGGTGTTCTTCGACAAAAAACATCCATTCCTTCCATGCTAACTTGCTCATGACCATTTTAAAGAAATTTATCCGTTCCCAATTTTAAATTGCGTAATTAATTAATATTATTACTAAGGCAATAATATTTATTCTTTGTTTTACTCTGTTAATTCAATTTGAATTTAGAATTTCGATTTTAAATGAACAAAGGCATTCCTTTACAGAATTTCTTCAAATGAGACCGCTACATAAAATATGCATTAACAGAAGCAAATACTGTTTTAATGCTTTATAATCTTGAGCTTAAGTGTCTGCCTCCGGAAATTTTAAAAGCGAATACAGTAAGTTTCATAATGTATCGATCTATCCAAAAACTGTTTTCCCTACTCCTTCATAAAACTTCTGCTTATGTAAAACGCGTCATAAATGGTTCCAATCATCCAATTTCTAACATTCATTTCAATAGGAGTGATTTGTATTGTAACGTGAACGCTCATTAGTTAGAAACCCATAGTTTGAATATACCCAGGTTATATGCATGCATTACTTTGAATTTAAATTTACGATAGCTTATTTTTCGTATATTTAACCCCGAAAAGGAACTTGAATATACAAATGTGATAATACACTTGTAATAGCATGATTATCCACGTCTTAAATATTATGAATATTTCGTTAAATTAATAAAATATAAATGTAAACTTTCTCTTATTAACAAAGTTAATCAAAAGTTGGCAGGCAGCTTCCAAATAATTGATAACGCATTCTCAACTTCATAGATGAGCTGAGAATATTATTATAATAAGGTCACCCTAATTAACATGAAAAAAATTTTTATAAGTTCGTTCTTAAGCTACGCTTGTAATTTTGCCTCCACTCATATGATTTAGCCAACTTTGGGTACTGAAACAACCATTCGCTCACATTATGTTTGTAGCGGATTGCTACCTTAGTAAAGCCTGACTAACTCAGAAATCTCTATGACAAATTCTCCAACATCTAGCTAGACTCCCAGAACCAGCTAAGCTATAGCCCATCTATAAAGGAAACAGACGTGTAGCACGGAGCACGTTTATTCAGGACGTATATTGCGGATAACGTGTACACGCAGGGAGCTACTCATGATCAGGATGGGGGATTAGGTTAAACAGAGGTTAATGATTGGTCACTCTTTGTACGGTCGCACTTCCCAATCCTGGCGTGCAGGCATGTGATGACGTGTCCTACATGTTACACTGGTTGG